CCCCCCCCCCCCCCCCCCCCCCCCCCCCCCCCCCCCCCCCCTGCTGGCCACTTAATTATGGTTATTGTGACCGAATTTTCATCATCCAGTGGCCATCGGCCTAAGATTCTAGCAATGCTGAGTACATACCCTGAACTTTCGATGTGATCTCGTTAGCTTTGTTCTGGCTTTGTACCAAGGATACTAAGATTGTGCGGGCAATCTGTGTTGATATCCCATGTTAGTGATGTTACTGGAATGCGCCCATATGCGCCGAGTGCAGCTTTGCCATGCCCTTCGATCCTGGAGTGCATGTCTCCAGCTAATACAAGTCCTGCGTGATCGCGGTGATTTCCTGTGTGCTGTTCTTCTGACGAAAAATCTGGTTGGTCGTTTCTTCGGTAAATGCTAGCTTTTTGAAAAATTGAAAATGCAAATTTTATGGAAAAATGCAAACTTCCAGTTCACTAAAAAGTGGAAGTATTGCTCGAGCGGTCGTTTGTGAAACTAAGGCTGGATACCGTAAATCACTGTAAATTTTTGCATATACGAAAATAAACAATTTCTGTTTAGCGGTCGTTTTTATTTAAAAATGACTCAGCTGTTCAATGAAATTTTCTCGCCAAAAATTTAAGTGCCCGTAAACGAGAACCACTTGTACATGGAGGCTGAATTTGAAACCTTTAATCTATATTGGGACAGAGAATATTCTCCTACAACCTCAACTTTCCAGCTTTTATGGTTCCCGAGTTAGCCACTTTCCCGCCAAAAAAGTTTCACGGGACCGTACACGAGAACCGCGAATGCCTGGGGCTGGATTTGATAATTTTAAGTCGTACTTGGGCTGGGAACATCCCCTGGAAATTTCAGCTCCCCAGCCTTGCTAGCTCCCGGGTTAGCCATTTTCCCGCCAAGAAATTTCACGGGCCTGTGCGGGAGAACCACGCACATCCGGAGGCTGAATTTGAAATCTTTGACTTACATGTGGATGGGGAATATAACCTGAAAATTTCAGCTATCTTTTCTCGTTCCCGAGTTATCAATTTTCCCGCCAAAACTCTCACCCCTCGTACGCAGGGCCCAGACTTGCGTGGGGGTTGGTACCGCGGTTCTGGGGTGGCACTTGGCCGGGGGACCTACTAGCAAAATCTTGGTGCTGGAAATTGCTTGGTTGTCGAGTTGACATACACGGACAGACGAACACACACACAAACATACACACGCATGCATACACAGACAGGGTCGTTGCAGTATGCGTTTTTGCAATTTACATGTAGCTAAAAACGCATAAAAATGATGAAGATTATAAAATGCAAATTTCTAACTCCCAGTTTATTATATGGTGTGAAACATACAACCTGAAGTCATCTTTCAAGCTCCTTGTTAACTTAATTAATGATTTCATTTTCAAATTCAGGGTGATTGTTCCTTTTTAGAATGTAATAAGGTTGGAACTCAAATTATGATGTAGCAACAGGTATTAGATGAAAGTGCATCTGCTTTTTTTTAACAAAATCGCATCCGATGCCCACCCTGAATGAATGCACGTAACCGCACCAGCTCTCTGGCACTTCTCCGGCTTTCTGGCACTAAAGTTTATTAGGTCGCAACAGTTTTGGTGGTTTTTTGCCCAGAGATGATGTGGGGACCAGTTCCGTTGTTATGTGATTGTTTCGTATAAGCTGGCATTTAAAGCACTTAAATAAAATGTACACTTCAGTTCGACTGATGATGAGAAGTCACGAAACTCCGGTAATTCGGGTGAAAATGGGCGTGAAAGTGGCTATGGAACGGCTCCAAGCAGATTGTGGAATAGTCCAATGGTTGCGTACCACCAACGGTATTCATACGCAATTTTCATTTGTGATTCCCCAATAGGTCGTGGCATTTAATAACATCCTATGCATTCATGCGTTTACAAAACAGTCCCTATGCTGCAGCCAGTCAAATGCTTTATTAAAATTCAGCTTTTCTTTATCACATTCTTTCGACTAGTACCTATCAGCTTTTCCGAAAAAACGAGGAAAACTGGAAAGTGCTTCCTAGAAAAAAGCTTTCCAAAAGAGTTTCATTTTGTAACAGCTTCAGCTGAAAACTTGTTTTCAGAATCGTTCTTTGTAAATTTAATTTTGTACCAGTTCTAAATGATTTCCCGAGCTTAGCCTCTCAGCAGTAATACGTAATTCCAGGATTTCACTTCGACCGGCAGGTGATACATTTCGTCGTCAAGCTTCATTAGCTGTACATGCTCAGCGCAGTGATGCTCATCCCATGACTTATGTATGATGTTGTTAATACTGCTATCACTGTCACACTGCTAGATATACTGGTGCTTCTATTTATTTGTTTAACGATGTTTTTTGTTGTTACTGTAATAAAAATTCCGTTGCTTTTAATGAGACAAAATTGTCAAAGACTGAAAAAGAAGTGTTTCCAAACTGCAGCAGCAGTCAGCTTGTCTCATTTTTTCACGAACAGCATTTTGGAAATAATTTTAAACTTTTGCTCACCACCAGCCTCTAGATTAATTAAAATCATTTATTTATTGCTAGTAAGTAATCCTTAGTGCCCAAAAGTGCTTCCTTCATATTTCTTATGCATTTTTGGACATTTGTGCAAATGCCAAAACATGTTGACGAGAGTAAATTTTAGCTTGCTGCGAAATTTCAACTTCCTGTCTTATCTAGTTCTCGAAACCGTTTTTTCACCGAAAATGTGCTTATTCTTATTTTTGACTCCGTATTTGAGATCCGAGCGTACGGACAATAATTTCAAAGTGTGACGGCAGCGAACGGAGTGGTAAAAGGGTCCAAAAATTTCACTTTGTTAGCTTCTCTAGTTATCGAATTAAAAGTGGGCGACAAAAATACGAACACGCACACACAACTCTCTACAAACATGTGCTCCTGAATTTGCATAAACAGGCAAAAACACATAAAAAGTAAATAACACGTAGTTAACAACTGTAGAGAGCGATGCAGAATGAGACTTCGGGAGAATCTTTTGCAGTTGAAGTAGTGACTATAACTAGCTTAGATGGAAATTAGCAAAAGGCAAAACTGAAAATGTCCGAGTAAAAGACAAAGCAGGACAAAATATGAAGTCCAACCGGCTGAAGAAGCGGTAAGAAGGCAATTCCGTTTGTATGCCCGCCTTGGCCCAACCCCTCCCCCCCTCCTCCCCACCTTTGTCCTGGACGAACAGAATTTTCCAGCTGTCCATCGGTGCAGGCCAGCGACTGATATCAAAACGGCTTTTACAAAGATGGAAGGCGAAACAAACAAATTATATTCCATGAGAATGAGGCACATAATAAATTTAGCACTGCGTCAGACAACAGGAGGAATCAACAAAGGAAGCAAACGTGTCGAAAGCAGCCGCAAAAATATTAAAAACGATTTAAGCTTCTAGAAAAGCTGATTTTCTTGCTCCTTCATGATACAACATACCAAGGTTCCTGTGTCAGTATGTTTTTGCAACAGCTATGCAGTGCAAAAATGGATGAAAATGCAATTTACTGCTTATGATTCATTATGTGGTTTTTGACGCGGAAATTCACTCTTAACGAGACAGCGGAACTGGGGTACTAGAAACAGTCACTGTCCGAGTTGTTTGTTACAGTGCATAACGGCTAGCTGCACGCATCCTTTTGGAATTTCATGCGTTGCTTATGAGTTTGCTCGGCACATCACACATGCTCAACCACAAACAGGTTTTTATACACCACACTTCAAGGTAACAGCGTCACCCGTCGCGCCTTATGCAGCTGATGCCGCACGATATCTCCCATTTTTCCACTTTATACCACGAAAGTGTCTTCTGTGCTTTACGTTTTTCTACGTACAACCAGAGACACTTTACTGCACGAGCAGATCCGGATATAAGTGTTTGATCAGATGAATCAATACAATTTGCAGCTGTTGAAGCGAGACGCTCAGTTTTCGGGATCTTTGTCTCAGTCATTCGCAGGAAAGGTTGCCGACAATTCTTTTTTTCCCTCAAAAATTTTAGATGTTTGTTGCGGCGTGGTTTATTGTTTTCATCTGCATAATATTTTGGTGGTACAAAGTGCGAGCACTGTTTTTCATTAAAAACTGGATTCGTATCCGGAATCTGATAAACCAACTTCCTGGACCACCAACTTTGCCGATTTTGGGAAATGCTTACAATCTCAAGTGGGATGCAGTAGGTTTGTTTTTTCTTTCTTTATAAACCGGGAGATTGCCAGTGAAATTCCTACAGACTACTTCAGAATTCACTTTCCAAATGGAATACTTCTTTCGCAAATATGCATACTGCAGTGCTGGAATTCTCCGATTTTGGCTTGGACCCGTTCCTGTTGTCTTCCTCAGTCGACCAAAAGCGGTGAAGGTAAGCGGTGTGTTTCTTTTTTGCCGGTTAGCGCATTTGCGCCAGAATATTACATTTGTCCGAAATTACTTTTTGCCCACTAGTTAGGATTTTTTGCTGTGATATATTTGGTAAATGGCAATACCCAACTGAGGGCCGGCTTGGCAAATGTGCTTTTGCAGTAAGTTCTTGCGGTGCGGACGCCCGGTTAGGGAATAAGAGAACGCAGGTAGAACTCCGTCATGAATTGTTTTTATGCGTTTTTGCATATTGCAAATTGTAATCCAGGCTAGAACGTACCGGGCGGGCCCATTTGATCATGCATTTCTGCATCGGACTTGAAGTAATCAGGTCATTAACTGTATGAATGGCTGTCGCTTTACACCTACCTTTTGCGGTCACTAGCAAAAATCATCATAAATTTTGTAAAGTAAATTTGCAGTCGTTATTTAGAAGCAACCTTGTTGTTCAGTGAAGAATTTTTCCACCAAGACTTTCAAGTACACGTTCTTAAGAACCATGCATACCTCAAGGCTAAATTTGAAATACTTAAGTTGTACTTGGACAGGAAACATTCTCCCAAAATTTCAGCTTTCCAGCTTTTCTGGTTACCGAGTTAGCAATTTTTTCGCCAAAACCTTCACAT